CATCTTAATGGGACCACAAATGTTAGAATAGACCAAATCTAAAATATTAAACTTTCTACGAGATAGTTTTTGAAATGAAACTCTGTGTTGTTTACCAAGTAAAAAATAATCACACGAATTTAATAATGTACTTTGGTAAAAGGAATAAGGGACTTCCACGCCAAAATCGACAATCCTTTCTTGATCATATGAGCTAGCCTCTTGTGCCACAATTTTGGTGAAGAATTACTTCCAGTTGCATTCATCGCTTCACCATAAACCTTTAGTGTACAACAAACATTTTCTCTAGCAAATACCATCAAATTTATAAATTTTCATTTTTCGTTGTCAAAATAACTATCATAGCTTGCTTCATCAAAAGCATGTGTAGATAGCAAATTCAAACGCATGTTTGGTACAAGCCGCACATTCTTCAATATCGAGCTGTTTCCAATATCAGTTTAAAACAAATATCACCATTTCCCACAATATTAGCAAAATTGTCATTACCAATCCTCACCCTACCAAAGTTACCTAATTTATATGAAACGAAGAGCTCTTGTCTTGGAGTAACATGGTAAGAAACTATTAAGTTAACAACCCATTCAACAAATGAATCTGTAATATGACAACACTGCTTATCTTCAGCAGAAAAAACTGTTACTGCTAATTTATCATCTAAAGTACTAGCTATTGTATTATGATTAGTCTTCTTTTAATTTTTCTACTCTTTCAATTTATTTTTCCAAGCCATGCAATGCTTTTTATATGACTATCTTTATCATAAAATTAACATTTGACATTTCCTCTTACCTTTAATTGACTTCTAAAGTTATCACGTCCCTTAGGTCATTTGTTGTTTCTCTTTCCTATATTCTTTGTAATAAGAGCATGTGCATCATTTCTACCCGAGTCTTCTCTTCTTATTTCTTTATTAAACAAATTATCTTTAACTAGAGCAATTCCAAGTACACCATTCGGAGCAGAGTTACTAAATGATACCACCGTAGTCTCTCAACTATCAGACAACGAAGTAATAGTGCTTCATCTCATCATCTAGCACTATTTTTCATTGTGGTCAACTAATTTAATAAGTATTGGAATTTATTCAAATACTTAGCAACTGATTAACCCTTCTTTAGCTTTAGATTCACAAGTTTTCTAATAGCAGAAGCTTTATTTTAAGCAGTATTCCTTTCATGGAGACCCTCTAGTTTTTCTCAAAGGCTATGGGCATATATCTCTTGAGATATATGATGGAATACATTTAGATTAACCCACTATCTAATATATCCATTGGTATTCCTGTTCATCTTCTTCCAATCACTGTCACTCATACTATTTGGCTTGACACTAACACATTCAATAGGTTCGTGTAAATCCTTACAATAAAAAATATCTTTCATCGTAAGCTTCCAAATATAATAATTGGAAGCTAGTAATTTAATCATAGTGCCCAAAGTATTCTCCATTTATTTTCGCAATAGAACCACACCTATATAACCTAAACTCAGATATCACTTTGTTGGGCAAGAATGAATTTACAATTCAAGCAAATAACTAATTAAATACCAATAGAGCAAGAAAGAGAGAACACTCCAAATTTACGTGGAATCTTCCAGTGTAAAGAGAAAATAACCACAGGACAACTCCAACCAACTTTACTGTGAATAAATAAATATTACGATATTCAAGTTTATGCCCAAAACTTGAATTCTAAACAAATTGGAAAATACAACAATAATCAATCTCCAAGACAACAAATAAGCTTACCACAAACCACCAATTTGGTGAAACTTGAGAGATACCTACTTTGAATACTACATTTCTAGTGTACCCAAAATACACTTTAGAGAAATCTCCACTTTGTTCTGAAATAGAGAACAAACCCGTGTGAAATCTACACCTCAAGAAGGATGAAAAACTTTTCCAATTGTCCCTATTCTTGTTCAGCAGTCTTAACCCCTGTTTGGTGCACATTATTTGGAAAAATAATAAATTTTTTCCATCAAATCAGCCTACAATATTTGACTTCAACACTCTAAAGTAGGACCCATGATGTGATGTTTAAAATGCATTTTTGTTGAAAAAATGTGGAACAAACGGCCCCTAATGTTTTTCTCGAATTTTCAGCCTTTGTTTCTCTCTAATTTTTTTCCAGCAGCCACGGTTTTCTCTTGTATATATGTGACCACCAATTTTTTACCTTCAATACAATATATTAGAGATTTGGCCCTATAATTTCTCATGGATTGGAAGCCCAGACAACAATCACATCCGATGCAAACTTGTCTACGCACCACCATTCTACCAATCCTACAAAACAAAATCTCATAAGCTTAAACAAACAAATAATTAGAAACTAAAGAAATAAGTCATTTCTCACTATAAAATAGTGCCCACAGTTACTGGTTACTCCTTTTCCCCTCCCCGGTCACACACTTTTAGGGTCCGTTTGATTGTAAAGATGAAATTAAATTGAACTGAAAACGAATTTCAAGGAATTGAATTGCCCAGAAATTGTTTTCTTAGGAATTGTAAATTATTGTGTTTGATTGGTATAATTTTCTATGTGAAAAATGTTGAAATAAAAGTATTTTTTGGTGTTTGTTTGGCTCTAGTTTACATGAAAATTGTCAATTAAAGGGATAGATTTTATTGGTATCATGGATGAAACTTGTTTCCATTGCCACAAAAAAAGAAAGAAAAAAAGAAAAAAATTCAAAAAAATCATCTATCTTTTGATATTTGTTTGGCTTTGTTTTACATGAAAATTGTCAATTAAAGAGAAATATTTTTTTACAATAATTCTTAGAATTTGTTAAC